ATCTTATCAATTATTTTAATGGAGTCTTAATTGTGTAAGATAAACTTGATTTGATTTGTTTTTAATTTTCAACTTTGTATATTTACCTTTTTACAACTGTGTTTATCCCTATAGCTTACCCATTGCATCATTGTATTCTATATTTTTGACACTCAGTTGTGTATTAAACTATACCCAAAGTGTTCTTGAACATGGGGTGAAATCACTAAAGACTCTCGAATACGTTGTCTCTACTACAATCTTTGAAAGCGAGAACTGACAGATACTTCATTCCGGGCACGATGTGTGTTGATGTTAATCTAGCAGATTAATAATGATTTTTAAATTGGCAGAGGGGTAGTAAATAGCTACACAAACGTGTGAAGTATAACTCATTAACTATTGGGAGACCAGTCCCAGAAAATCTCAGTAAATAGTTATCTTGAAAGAATAATTTTTATTATTCAGGTGTAATTTATTAAGTCTGAGTTATTTGTTATACTCTATCTTCATTGATATTCTATTCCCTTCTCTGTAATCGTGAATTTAAGATGAACGTGAAAGAGTGAAGGCCTCTAATCCTTGCTCCATAGATTCTGGTTGACATTATATGAAACGAAACAATTGGAAAGCTGTGAAAATTATGTGTCCATCATCTCATTAAGTTTGGCAAGTTCCTTCGTCTGACGATCAACCAATCGTTTAAGTAACTTAATGTTTTCCTCAATGAACTGGGATCTCTCTTTTTTTCCCGCTTTCCCACTTTTGTCATCCGTTGTCTCATCTCCACTTAGGTTGTCTTCCTCACATTTTTCAAAGTAGCGGCCCCTTAACTGATACTTTATCACCAATTTCTTCATCGTTTCTTTTCGTCTCTAGGATGAAATAATAAGATTAAAGACATTATTCATCATCATTTCCCCTAACTCTAAGTATAATGATACTATATCGATTTAATTTAAAAGCATTTGTTGTTTTCGCATGCTAAAAGGCTTGCTGGATTAATTATCTTGTTGTTACATGAAAAAAATGTCAGAGTTTCACTTCTTTAAGCTTACATGTACCTCTTTCCTGGCGGTAATCTCGTCCCCCTGAAAACAAAAAGAGTAATATTGAACGACTTAGAAACAATAGGTGATCAGAATAGTTAATATCCTCTTAGTGATCTACAAAAGATAAAACTTCTTCTCTTCCTTACCCAATTAACATGACAACTACAGCATAACTCTGGTGATCACCAATTTCTTGAGCCGCGTGCGTTATTAGCTACAGTCCCCAATCAATTGCAGAAAGTAAAGCCACAACTCTAAACACGGAGGATAACATCCAACTTATATTTATATCCGTATCAAAAAGAGGCAGAAGTGAGTGGCCATTTTCGGCATTGTATTACTTAATAAATATGACAGAATGCTTGATATAACCACTAACTCTGCACCTAAAAATATCTGCAATCTTTTTAT